TGATACAAGAATCAAAACCAACATGAACCTTATGAATAAATAAAAACTAAACCCGACAAGTAAGACAAGACTATAACTTAGACTATGACTTTGACTATGACTAACATGGGGAAATATAGGCAGACAACCTGACAACGAACAGTAAGAGACAAAAGACTTAAATACACACATGAGGTGATCAGGGGAAGTGGAGACATATGAGGAAACAGCTGACTAGAATGAACATAATGACGCCACAGGGGAAGTGAGCCAAAACACAATGAACATGGAACAGTAAACATGACGAGATGCAGACATGACAACATGAAGGGCAAGGGAGACCAAAACACAAGGGTGAAGACACGAGGGGAATCTACTAAACAATTAACAATAACAGCAACCTAGGCATAATAAATATTAACTAAATAAGATAAAATGAAACTAGAACATGAATGAATAATAAAATACAGTGAAACTCAAAACACTGGGTCCCATGACCCAGGACCGTGACAAGGAACATCATTCTCACCACTCTTAATGCAGTTCTCGAAACAGTAAAGGCTGTTCTCATAACTTAAACTCACCTGAGCAAAAGATGCTCAAATCACCGTTTTCAAAATATGCCAAATCAGTCAATCACTTCAGCTCTGTGATTCACAAATGGAAACTCTTTTACCTACTTTTTAAGACTTAGACATCAAATTGATTTCTTTCAAAACCTAAGTGACTTTGAAAAGAGCTCTGCAAAAATGTTGGTCTAATGTACAGTAACAGTGGAGAGGCAGGGCAAGCAGGTGAATAACTGGTGTTTTTTTCAGTAGCAGTAGGGCGGCTGGAGGATACAAGTGGAGATGTTAAACAATAGTTCAAATCATTCAAAAAGGTTGATTTTGTTCATCTGGACGTGACACTTTCAGTGGGAGAAATGTTTTGTCACTCATCAAAGTGACTTCTTCAGTCTTCGCTGACTGCAGGTTTCCCAGCCCTGAAGTTCATTGATCATTATTAATGATCAATGAACTGACCTTCAGGCCCATTATTCATTCAGTGGTGCTAGTTTCAGTCATTGTGCAATGTACTGTTTATAAGGTTGGGGATGAGCATAGAGGCTTTTTTTTGGCATGCGCTCAAGGTTACAGAAATGTGGTCCAAGTGTTTATTTTCAATAAAACAAGTTTGTTATCGTATGGAAAGGGAACTAATTTTCACACAATGGCAGTCCGTGCGACAGTGCGGCAATAGGAAATCTAATGTTTAAGTTGGAATGGAAATTTTGATGGGCTGAAACGAAAACACCCGCCACTTAGTGAAGAGTGGAAACTCAAGGCAAGAAAAAAAGGATCCAGTTGGGATGAATTCCAACCATATGAGCCTGTAGCTCTATCTGTGCTCCTCATTGGTAGACTGCATGAGCCTGCCTCACACAGACACAACCTTATGTGAACCAGGAACCCGCTGTGTAGCTGGGACATGTGGGGTTGACCCCTGAGGAGAAGCACTCTCAGCCTCAGATGCAGAAAAGTAGGAGCATAGACTCTCTGAAGGTGCGCTGTTGTAACTGGCACCAAGATTTTAGGAGCAGATCATTTAAGTCCTGTTAGTTCTGAGGTGGATCTCCACAGATCGCACTTGTTTGTCCAGCACTTCTCACAGATGCTTGATTGGATTGAGATTTGTGGTATGCAGTGATGCAGGCATTCAACGCAGCATAACATGGAACTAATTAAGTAAAACACAAAATGCTATTGATGGTGTGTTTTTTGTGATTTAAAAGAAAAAATCTCTTAACAAATCCATCCTGTTGGGTCTGCTGCTCTGCCTCTCATGGGAGAAACTCTCCCATGAGATTAGAGGGCATCTGCTCTTCAATCTCTGCTAATTACTGAACACATCAAATAGACCATTTACTCTATAACAGCATAACAAGTTGACTTTTTTGTATGTGGCGATGTTAGGTGACCAAGCTAAGAGACACAACACAAATGCAAGTTTTTAATAAGCATATCTTTATTGAAGCTGACCAGTCAGCAGATATGTGGCATTTAGATGATCTGATTGGTGAACTCGCAAGAAGCGGGAAACCACAAA